AAAACTCCCTTTTAACAGGAAGAAACCTCCAGCAGAACCAGGCTCAGTGTGAGCGTCCATCTGCCGAGGCCGACTGGGGTTCAAGGACACAGAAGCAGAGATACAAAAAGCAGCTGCAAAAGGCGGCCCCGTCCAGGAAACACACAGCCAGGCAGACGAGCGCCGAGCCAGCTCCCATGCCAGAGGATAAAGAGAGCACATCCAGTCAGTCACGGTCAGAGAAACAGGACCGCACTGGAAAACAGGCCGATCTCCAGCATCTATAAACAAAGGTGTGGATGGAAGCAGCAGAGCTGATGTTTCTCTCCAGGATGGCGTCACAGCCAAACAGGAACAGAAGAGGCAAAGCTACTCTGAGGAAAAGCAGAGAGAGCAGAACGTTAAAGATTGAACTAACAGATTCGGCAGAATAGGAGAATAGAGAGAGAATAAAGGTCCCTTTGTCCTCCAGCAGTCTAAACCTATAGCAGCATAACTATAGAGATAGCTCAGGATGTTCTTTCTTAACACCTTTGTGTTGGTCTTTCACATGAAGAGCATTTAGGTTCGCTTTTTTAAACATGATAAAATATGGAGAGACAGAAAGAGTGTGAATAGGAGTTATGGAAAATGTAAAACGGCAACAAAATGTCTCAAATGGTCCCTTTGTTCTCTGTGGACATTTTTTCCACGCCCCTATACAGTTGTCCAGATTCATCCAACAGCTAAGCTCTCAAACATGTTTTGAGAAAAAAAATAAAAAGTAGTTTTCGAGCTAGTTTACATGAGAAAATTAGAGCAAGTGCACTAATGTCTGTTTTTCGAGCTACTTTAGTGTGGGAGTATGAATATTTACAACCGCGTTCTGGTGTTTTTTTACTTACTGTGATGAAAATTTGCGCTCCTTGCAGCAGAGATGGCTTTCCATCAGTAACCGGGGGCTTGTCAGCACCCCCCACCCCTCCTCCTCTCGGCTCTGTAATGGAAATATGTAATTAAAGAATCACATTTATGTTTGGTAATCTCCTGTAGCATTTCTAAGATTTCCTCACTAATATCCAATCAAAGCGGTTTTCATTTGTGAAGCGAAATCTACATATTTGTAGTAATGGCGATCATATTAAAAATAAGGCCCTGGGGAGTTTTCAAGTTACTTTGATTTCTTTTTTTCTCTCTCTATACCCGTATTTCAAATAAAAAGGGGAAAAAAAAAATCTGAATTTCTTCTCCCCCCCATCTCTTCCTCAGTCCGGCCTAGAAAAGAGCATGGAGGAGGCCATCGCTGAAGGGGACATTGCAAAGGCGGAGGAGATGAGCGACAGACTCGCCACTCGAGAGGTACGTTCAGCAGATAAGCGATCTTTGGGGTGCGCCCGCTGTGACAAATCAAGCTAATGGATCCGTGGCCATTTTTTCGCTGCAAAGACACAGAGGAACAAAAACACATGCAGACATCCACCATTCAGACCCGCAGCCCTTTTCCTATTGAGTTAATGGAAAGCCCTCCCCTTAGTTTTGAAGTGCTGCAGTGTCTAAAGGACTTTTGGCTCTGCTTTTTAATGAAGGGGTACATTGCTTTCAAGCCAACTGTTAAATCATTCTCCAGGTAAGAGTTTCGTACCTTTGAAGTGTACGTGTCCCTAAATGCACTGCCTGAAGTTTTGTAACTAAGCGGCTCGGTTGGCGTCGAAGATCCGGGTGGCTTGAAAGTAATTTAGCGTAAAATGTAGCCGCCACACGCACACACATATGCACACACATGTAATTTTGGTTTAAAAGACACAAAAGCTACAGTGCCAAACTGCATCAAACATAAACTTCTTTGTTTTATGTTTGTCTGTTGCTTGCAGCATCCCATTGGCTTTTATCATAGGACCAAAATGTTGACTCTGGTTTATTTGCTTTGCAAGGATTCAAGAGGAGTTGCTAAATAAGAGGCAGTACGTTTTCATTTTAATTTTAATAAAAGTTTCACCCTTATAAAAAAAAAACAAAAAAACATAAGAATCACCCACATGATTTTAAGTCGTAGCTGCCAATTAAGTCAACATTTTCAGATGAAGCATTCTTTTTTTCCATCATTTTTATCAGCTCTCACCTGATAAGAGTGGTTTTGATGAGTTGCAAATAGAGCTTTAATAAAATATCCATTTAGCTTAACACTCGGATTAAAAGAGTCATAACTTGTTAAAATTCATGATCAGTTATTTTTACAAGAAAAAAAAAAAAGCTTTTTCAGAACCATTTTCCATGCCTCTTTTTTTTTTATGAGTAACGGTATCAAAAATGTACTTAATCTGGATGCAGCTTTAGCAACATTAGCTGCTAGCCATGGTTCTTTTTTCTGATCTTTTACACAACAGGTGAAAAATTACACAAACAAAAACACTTTCCTCACCTTTATCTCAGTCTTATGTTTACATTTGATGTAAACATAAGAC